TTTAAGAGGAAAGTTACGGATTGGCCACTCCGATAACTTCTCTAGAACGCTTTGAACTGAAGTTAAGATGACGTGGAGCATAGTTTTATAATTCGGATGTTTTGATTTACGGTCGAATCAGAATTTGACAGAAAAAAAGGGGGATTATACAAAACGCCAACAAAACTACGCCTCGCGTCAGATCTGGAAGGTTCTGATTGGATCAGAAAATGGAAAAGTGTCATGTGATTTTAGCATTTCGTGTGATCAGTCTAGTGTCTAGTTTAAAGTTATATTACTTATTATATACAATCACAGGATTATAACATCAAGTAATTAATATTCTCATTTCACAGATTGATTGAACATTAGGCTTTACATGATTATTTGGACTAACAAAGTTATTTGCTCATTATTTAAAAAGAAGAGTTATTCTTCTTCTTTACTGTGCTGTCCGAGGAAGCAACAGTTTAGATAAGAGCACAGAGCATGAGTGGCCTTGGCCCATATCCTGTAGATTAGGCTTGTGTCAGAAACTTGTGTTTCTGCTTGGGCAGAGCAAATAGAGCAGGACCTTTTAGGTCAGAAAAGGACAATTCATCACGCTTCATACTTTATTCTAAGGAGTGCAGCAGGCTGAAAGTTTAGCTGATTTTGTGTTAGCTGCAGTTTAGTTAGCAGAAACAGACGGCCTTATCCCAAAAACATGATTTCTGTTTGCTTTGAAAGCCTAAAATCCCCAGTAGTCTCTCTGTTGGTTAGTTTCACTCCTCATCATTAAGTTTTGTCACAACCTGTAAATAAATCCATAAATGTTTCCTGTTTGTGCACCCTCCATTCATCAATATTCATATTATTGCACCTGCATGCCTAATTTGATGTAATGCAATCCCGTCTGGATGGTTTTAGGCTACAAATGTTGTGTTGTCACATGAAATCATGACCTTTAGAGATTCAAACCGGAGACTTTTTCCACTTTCGCATTAGAGCCTCTTATAAAGCTCCACCAGCTGCTGTTTTACTGGTTACCACAGCTTCACCGCATCACTCCGAGCCACATCCTTCCAGCAAATCTCAAGACAAAAAAACTGACTCAAACTGAAATTCTCCATTGATTTTCTTTCCTCTGATGTTCCCCCTCTTCCTTTTCTTCCTGAAGAACAAGCTGTCCCCCTCCCCTTCCTCACCACAGATCAGACGCATCGAAGCATGGAAATGGCAGGTGTGTTTCATTTAGGTGAGCCAAGTTCAGGTTCCTGTATTGTATGTTTGCTCACCAAAGAGACTTTCTAACACACTCAGTAGAGACGAGCTGCTAAAAGAGTGATTTACAAAATAATCCATAAATAGATGCAGGATTGATTTTGAGGAGCGCTGTTCCAGGAGCAGCAAAACGACGATTAAACGACAGGAATAAAACAAGGATCACTAATCTACAGAGTAAGGGAAAAAGAACATACCCAATGATTTCTAATAGATTTGTGTGAAACAAAATGATAATCCATGTTAATGCAATTAATTAAACTGCAGAGCCAAATCCAAAACAAATGAAAACGAATATTAATCTGCACAAATCTGGAGGGATTACATGTTGTAAAGGATAATTCAGGCAGTGATTTTGCCGTGTTAAATTTGAAAGTTCATAATTTTAATTTGAAATAATAAAAAAATGCATCATTATTTCTTACCAGCTAAAATGCGATGACATCATCTGCAGATCTCCTTATTCCTTAAGAAATGAAACCTTGACTGAAAGCGATTGCCGTTTGCTAAAAGGCTCCTCGTGATTATTTATTCAGCAGCTTTTTGTCAGACTTATTCTGAACATCTATTAAAATATTAAATGAAGCTACAGCATCAAGTGTATTTTTCCATATTATATCAAAAGCTTGTGACTTGTTGGTCTTTTTTCAACATGTCTGTTTCGAAGACTTAATTATACACAAACTGAGTTTGTACAGAAAGTATTTTTCTTAAATTACACTACATGTAATGGTTTTAAAGGAAGATATTGACCTCCATGTGATTAGTCGGTTGCAGAAATGCCAATTTGGGGCCCATTAGTCTTTGAAGCCATCTATCAGTGTCTCTGGGTTCGAAGCAGCAGTTGAGATGGAAAGGTTTTTAAGAGTCCCATAGATTGGTTCTGATTAAGCTAACGGCCCACAGCTAGTCACAACAAGGCCAGTTATGAAGGGGATTTCTGATACCATAAAACATTCAGATCTCAAAAATGTTACGTTGGACTTTTCCTAAAGCCCTTCTTCTTGGTCCTTATAGCCCAGGAGACGTTGGACAGAGAACATAAATACACTTCAACAATGACAATGATACCTTGACTACAGCTGACTTAAAAACAAGAGAGCTGATTCTAGGACTTCAGCATCAGGACCCTTCTTATGCCTCCATAAGGGTGATGGAGGAATCATGGTGGCACCCCGGACTTCTGTGCTTGTCTCCTAATATGGACTAGACTCCTCCCACTCAGTGAGAGAACACAGTGAATCAAGTGAAACCCATTCTACCAGAGTTTATGCTGTTCTAACCCACTAGCTTCTTTTACAAGACACACCATACCAGCAAATCGGCGTAATATTACCGCAATGGTATGTCTATAAACGCGCCATGCCGGCATGGCGTCGCGCGAATTTTGCGGCATTCGTTCCGCCTTGCTTGGTAGTAATATTGTGGTAATGGTTGTCGTATGTGCCCTGGCGCAACAGAGGCAGATGTCATGATGACGTGGGGAGTTATTGCTGAGCTCCGGCTGGCAAATTTATTGAAAATGAAAGTAAACACAAGCAGTAAGGTTTGCTTTTTGAACAAAATCAGCCGAGACGGCAAACTGTTAGAGCTGGAGCTCAGATCACCAGAGACTGCACAGGGACTGATGGGGACAGACACCTTTAGGAGCTGCTTGTTAAAAAAAACTTAACAATCACGGCTTCAATCGTAATAAAAAGCAAGTTATGTCCAAGATAAACGGAAGTCTGCGGCGGCGCAGAGACCGCCCCCATACCCCCTTTAAGCCGCCATCACCTAATCTTTTCTAAAATTTCCACAATTGCGCCACATCACCGCCGCGGTCTGATCTTATAAACGACCTTTATCCTCCCCAGGGAGCCGCGGCAAATCCCGTTTAGCAAAAGCTATGGTCCTGTAAAAACAGCTAGTGTTTCCCAACCCTGGTCCTCAAGGCACACCGTCCTGCACATTTTCCATGTTGCCATTTTAAACATCCGTGTGTCATGATGTGAAGGGTGGAGATGGTGGACCAAGTGTGGTGGAGGGTTCCAGGAGGCAGAAGAGCAGGCACGGATGAAATAAAAATGGGTTTAATAGCAACGGGAGCGACAGGACAAAACGAGACATGCACATACACAAACAGTGATCCGACAAAGGACAGGAGCAAAACAGGTGGTATAAATACACAAGGCTAATTAGGAAAACATGGGCAGGTTAACGAGGGACAGGTGAGAACAATATGGACTAATCAGGGCAGGAGAGAGACACAGTCAGGAGGGCAGGGGCAGATCGTGACGCCGTGTTACCCTGCTGCCATGGATGAGTGATTAACGGGCATGTAAAACACTTGATGTCCTCCTGAAGAGGGCATGTAAATCAGGTGTGCTGAAGCAGAGCCATGGGGAATAGGGTTAGGGTGCAGATCAGTGTGCCCTGAAGACCACGGTTGGGAATCACTGTTGCAACCAAGCAAAGGAGAAAAACTGCTTCCACATTGTTTTGGTTCCTTCCTCATGAGAACCAAATGTGATAATGGTGAGGCTGAGGCTTAGGGCAAGGTCTCGTTCATGAGATTCTTCATAATATTAATCTATCACATGCTAAGCTGAAAGTGCTGAAACTAGCAACTTATTGCATCTCTGAGGATGTAAGTTAGCGCATTTCCCAGACTGTATCTAGGCGCGTTGGCAGGGCCGCTCAGCGCAGAGCTTGGTGTGCTTGCAGAAAGCATATCTCAGTCAGAAAATCTGGCGCGTTTGTGGAAATACCAAGGCTGATGCAAGTTGGCAACATTTCTCATGGACAAGTAAGTCTTTAAAATTATACATATAAGAATAACATGAGAATACTAATTGTGAATCAGTGTGTTTAAGCTCTATTGCCCGGCCGCAGGTGCACTTTTACAAACGAGAAGTGTTCCGCCCTATGAAAACTCGTGTGGGACAAAATAACGCCTGTTAAAAATGCGTAAATATATGCGTCCTGTCCACAGCGACACAGTATTTTGCCCCCCATGGCTTTCCGTACACCTCCAGCTGTAATCCTTGAAGTTAGAAAAGGGGCTTAAGGTGCAACACACTTTACTGCCTCTAGATGGTGCCCTCTGAGAAGAATCCCCAGATTTTTGCTTTAATACTTCTTTCAACTCCGTCTCTCAGCCCATCCCAGGTTGCTGCTCAGCGTGTCTCTTAGCTCATTGCTTAACGTGCCTCTGTAGTTGTTGCTAGGTGCATTGCTCTGTGTGTTTCTTGGTGCAATGCTGTGTTTGTTTCAGTGCAAACATTTAGCAACTAGTGTTCAAATTAGACAGTTGGACTTTTTGAGATACTCCAAGAAGACATCCCACTGCCTCGTGTCCTCGCTGTGACTTTTCATTAGCTCTTCTGTTTGAGGTCTGATTTTCCGCTCTAAGGTTGTTCAAAGAGCTGCCCACGACATAACCTTTACTCAGAAACACTTCACAAGATCAAACTGTCTCTTCAAGGTCCATTAGATGAAAACTTTATAATGTTATAAAACATGTTTGAGTTCTAACTTTGGATTTCGGCCATGTGTCCAGCCTCCTCTGCTCTCTCCACCAACATTGTTCCACTAATTACAAATTGAACTCATAAAAACCAGATTAGTCAACAATTTTCAGATTGCAAACAGACAAGAGATGCACACCAGGAAGCTTCTGGCACAAAAATCCTCCCTCCTACCTCCAAAGTGTGCACATTCATACACTGATCTCTACTGGATGAGATTATTCAGATCGTGTTAGATTAATTTTATTACCTTCAGACAGATATGTCCATGAGGTCCACAGCTGCTGGCTCCAGATTCATTGTGCATCTTGAGAGGATTATCGATGTTTATCTATGTAGCAAAGAAAGAGAGCATATTTGTCAAAATAATCTGATCTGGATTAACTGTTAAGTATGAGATTGCCTTGAGGCGCAAACATGTGAGAATACCTCCGAGCGTGGATGCTAAAGGAGCAGCAGCAGTAGTGGCAGCTGGTTTGTTACGATATCAGTCAAAATCTATAAGAACACGTCGGACCGAGGTAATTCCTGTAATGGGCTTATTCACTTTAATCAGTCGGATAGAAACGTGCGTGTTTTTTTTTCTACTGAGCCACTTCATTAATCAAATCAGAATCAGTGAATTTAAAGTGGTCGGCACTTAAAAAAAATCATTATAATCAATAAACTTTAGGCATATTGAACTTGCAGCCAGACTTGAGCCCTTTTGCTCTTTATGATCGTGTTTGTTTCTCAGAAAATTCTGCTCTGGTATAGAACTTTGGCTCGGAGGAGGATGCTCCTCGTTTGCATAATCTGGTTTCCAGGGCTACAGCCGTACAACGGCTGCAAAAATCCCAAAACGACACAGGAACGCTGTGCAGAATCAACAGTCAGAGAAGGAGTTTCAATAAAGTGGCCGATGAATTCATGGCTTTTGAATACAACGACGCTTAAAGCAGAGCGTTACGGCACCTCTTCGAGGAACATTCGTCGTTAGGTTTGAACTGAGCCACATACCAAAGCCTATGGATTTTTGAGGCGTAAAGACTAGAGCAGAACTGGTAAAAGTCTCGGAGTCGAAAGGTTAAAGCAGAAATCAGTAAGTTAAGGAGGAGCACGTAGCTGTCGGTTGACATCTGTGCCCGCTGGCTGGTGTCGCTTTGACCCAGGATTGATCCACTGCCGGCCAGTTAACTCTCAGCCTCAGACCTTTCTCTGCTGCTCCTGCAGAGCCGAGCTGATGTGTGAGGACAAGTCCAGACCTAATCTATTCACTGGAAAGGGGTTTAACCCTGTGCTGGCAGCAATGTGTGTTTTTGTCTGTCAAGTGTGTCGGTGAGCTTCTCTTCGATAACTAAATGTGCACTGTAAAAACGATATGGTTCAGTTTAGTTTGCAGTTAAACTGCGATTAAAACAGTTGGCCACTGAGGTCAGGGTTAAAATAATGCATAAAAATAAATAGAAATGCATGTTATTGCACTCAAATATAAAGTTACCAACAAGCCGTTCATTAACCCTCTGACCGAGAAACAGCCGATGGGCTCTGTCTTACCGTATTTAACTGTTAAATAAGCAGAACTAACACGTTATGTTATGTTTCACTGCACTTTGCTTTATTTTACATTAAAGTGATTTAAATCTAGTACCTTTTTGTAAGGTAATGCAAGTCAACGTCCTGTTATATTATGTCAGAAGTGTAAACCAAACAGACAGCAGGGTATTATGAATATGCTAAATATATTTAATTTTACATTTATTTATTTATTTAATTTCACATTTATTTATTTATTTATTTGTTTATTTATTTTTCCTGTCCTGTCTGGCTGTGAAGAAAATAGGATGAATGTCTGAATGCTGGTGACAAGCCTTACAGATTTCACTTTCCCTTTCACAAACCAGTTGTTGATAGAGTTTGTCTAATTTCTGCTTCAGACTAGAATTTAGCAATTATACTTTTACAGTATCAACGTGAAATAGATTTTTTTAGTTGGGTTTTGTGAACTCTCTTGTCTTACCTGCTGAGAAGCTAACGGCTATTCTGAGAAGAGTCCTTACCAAAGTGAACCTCTGTTGTCATAAATTATCTTATTTCTCAGAACTATAGTGGTTCACGTATAAGCCAAATAAAATAATTACATTGTCAATAATGTAATGTAATATTATTTACAAAGGCTCTTTAAAATTTATAGTAGGAATTAGCAGAAATGGCTGCTTGTCCAGCTCTACTTGTAAAATATCTGGCAGGATAATCACATAATACAAAACTGTTTATTTAAGGTGGAATTTTTAAGGCAGTTTGGACACGTGCTCCTCTGTAAATGTGATAAAGTTTCCTGAACTGACGTCAGCTTTGAGAAACAGAATTTAAAACTTCCACGACTGACAAGCTAACTGCTAGCTTGGAAACAGCAAAGACCCTGGGTGTTTCGCAATGTCAAGGCGCCTGGCCTGGCGAGGCGATGTCTTGCCAGGCCAGGCGCCTTGCCGTACGAGGACACTGTCCTTCCTTGGTCAAAGAAAACGGTTAAATGGAACAGACTTGCATCACGTGACCACGGCTTCCACGGCAGTTACGTAACGTCACATGACACGGGAAGTAACGTTACATTTTATACGTATTAGTTTCAATATAAATATATAACGAGCCTTTTACTTTTTATGTTTATGTTTATGTATTTAGCACACACTTGTTCAAAGCGACTTACAAGTGATAATCGGCATGTTTCCTTTGAGGCTAACAACAACAATAACAACAACTTGACATCAATCATGGAGAGGAGGGAACAAGGAGTGGACAGTAGAGAGGGGGGACGGGTGCAGGGAGGGTGCTAGTTTAGAAGATGCTCTCTGAAGAGCAGGGTCTTCAGGAGTTTCTTGAAAATTGAAAAGGAAGCTGCTGTTCTGGTAGTGCTTGGAAGGTCATTCCACATTTGTGGAACGATGCATGAGAAGAGTCTGGATTGTCCTGAGCGTGGTGTAGGCACTGCTAGCCGACGATCCTGTGATGACCGGAGCGGCCGGGCCGAGACGTAAGCCTTTGCAAGAGGATTCAGGTAGATGGGAGCCGTACCATCTCGGACTTTGTATGCTAGTGTTAGCAATTTGAATTTGATGCGTGCTGCTAGCGGTAGCCAGTGGAGCTCAATGAACAGAAGGGTGACATGTGCTCTTTTTGGCTGATTGAAGACCAGACGCGCCGCTGCGTTCTGGACCATTTGAAGAGGTCTCACAGTACAGCCTGGAAGACCAGTTAGAAGAGCATTGCAATAATCGAGGCGGGAGATGACGGTAGATTGCACCAGGAGCTGGGTGGCATGTTGTGTTAGGTATGGTCTGATCTTTCGTATGTTATACAGCGCAAAGCGTGAATGAGCAACAGAGGCAACATGATCTTTAAAGGTCAGGTGTTCATCAATCACAACACCCAGATTTCGAACTGCCTTTGAATGAGCCAGAGATAGGAAGTCATTTTGGATTGAGATATTGTGCTGTATGGATGGTTTTGCTGGGATGACAAGTAGTTCAGTTTTAGAGAGGTTGAGTTGGAGATGGTGGGATTCCATCCATTTTGATATGCTAGAGAGACAGTTTGATATTCGTGCAGAGACAGTGTGGTCGTCCGGTGGAAATGACAGACAGAGCTGGGTGTCGTCTGCATAGCAGTGGTAGGAGAAGCCGTGTGATCGAATGATCTCACCCAGTGAGGTGGTGTATATGGCAAAGAGAAGAGGTCCTAGGACAGAGCCCTGGGGGACTCCTGTGGCAAGATGGTGCATGGTACAGGATTGTCCAAGCCAAGATACACTGAATGATTGTCCTGTGAGGTACGATTCAAACCAGGCGTGTGCTTTCTCTGTGATGCCCATGCTAGAGAGTGTGGACAAAAGGAAGCCATGGTTGACAGTGTCAAATGCAGCCGATAAGTCGAGCAGGATAAGCACTGAGGATTTGGCAGTCGCCCTAGCTTTTTAAATCGTGTATATGTTTATTAAATTAAATATATAAGTGAGTTACTACCTGCTAGCCACCGAAGCTGCAACTACTAAGCAACTAACCAACCATAGATAACTGTTTTGGATTAAAAAAAACATTTGAAATTAACTGACTAACATTTAAACTTTAAAATTGTCCCCAAAGTAGCTGCCTGCTTCTGATCCGCTGTTCTTTAGAAAATACCACGGTGTATTGTGGGCAATTTTGACCAAGGCTAGGCTACAAGACACCTCCCGTGGATCCTCGCTCAGCTAGCAAACCGGCTAACAAATGGAGAACACACGCCTCGGTAGAACACGAACATTGGAACACGTCTTGGGGGTTCCCGATGACGTATCTCCTGGGCAACCGGGGCCAAGACATAAAGGCAAGGTTCCTTGCATTGAGAAACACCCCAAGGTGTAATATTCAACCTAGCTATTAGCATGTCAATCTTTAAAGTTGTAAGCTTCCTGGCCATTTAGGGAGCTGTTGACATTGTGTACAATGGGCCGACCCAGGAAAAAGCACTTTAGAAAGGTCTTAACATCACTTAAGTAACCAAACTGACTCCATATAATTTTCACATTTAAGCATTTGTTTTAAGATTTTAAAAGACCAAGTTCTTTTATTTAATCAATAGATCCATAAACTTTTATATTTAATCGGAGAACTGGACTAATGTAAAAAAGATTTCATCTCTTTCTTTTATTTTTACATATACCATTGTTTACCTATGAGTCGACTTGTCTCTGCAGACGTGTTTACACTATAAATACAGTTTATAGATGTTAAATCTGCACCAGATGGGTAAAAGTGATGATGCCCCGCTCTCTCTGTGGGGTGAATATTGAGGTTGGAAGTGGCGCTTCCTGGAGCGTTCAGTCACCGTTCACGTGATGTCAAGGTTGCAGCACATTTCACACAGAGAATCAGATTACTGAAATTTCACCAACAGCAAACTGTTTCAATTGTTCTTTCATACAAAAATAACTTGAGAGCTGAAAGCACAACGACACACGGTGAAATCAACACACTTAGCAGCTCTGTGGCTTTATTTATTCAGATGTTTGTTCTACAGTCCTGCAACATCTCTGTCTGCAGGAAACACGTGAGCCATGTGCCAAACCAACAACAGCTGTGTAAAAATAACAAGTTCTTTGTGTTATATCGCTCTTTTCTCACTTTAAAGTTATGTCCTTCTATGGTATTTAATTTATTATGACACAGCTGAACAATTTGGACCAGATACAAAGTCTCTTCTGTGCCAAAACTTCTATAATAGAAATATTATTGAACTCAGAAATGTCCATTTAATGTGAATGTGCAGCCAGAAAACTGCAAGCTTTGCTTGTAGCTTGATGACAGGAGGAGG